TGTAGGGTATCGTGACGAACTTTTTGTAGGGTATTGTGACGAACTTTTTTTATTCAAGAATTTTAACTGTTATCGTTGATTATTTGTAAAAAAAATATAATAATACCAGATAACATTTACTGCTGCAGTTTTATTGTTGTTTTTAATAGTGACGTCAGTTTAATTTAATTTAAAAAAAATTTGCACTTTGACCATTTTTTTTTTGTAAGTTTGGGTATTATCTTATTACTTTTTTCTTTTCCGTATCGAAAATAACCTTTCCGTAAATAATATATAAAAAAATGTATTTTTTGTTTGTAAAAAGGATGGTTTACACCAAACGCTGTGGGATTTGGCTACGTTGAAATTTCGAATCCAAATTTTTTTAGAAATATGCTCAGTAAATGTAAGCAACTTTCTGCTTTTACACTTTTAAAAAATATTCGTCACATTACCCTACAACTTTTGAAAGTGCAAAAAAAGTAGGGTTCACGCCAAACGCTGTGGGATTTAGCTGCATTGGAATTTCGAATTTTACAGGGATATGCTCAGTAGATGTAAGCAACTTTCTGCGCTTACACTTTTGAAAAATATTGATTTTTAGAAAAGTTACATTCAAAAAACGGATCGTTCGTCACCTTACCCTACACTCCCCTACTTTATAGGGTCGGAAATGCTTCCTTCTAGCTGTTACATACTTTTGCACGAATACAATATACCCTTTTACTCTACGAGTAACGGGTATAAAAATCTTTTAAAAAAAACTGTGCCATCGAAAAACAAATTGGTGGTATTTTCGTGATTTGGGGGTCCAACACTAACATCAATTGCTTTGGAGCAGTTTGGCTGTAAACTAGTGTAAGTTATCAGCTGGACAAAACCGAAAGAAACAAATTCCTTTTTCGACACAAATCACTACACTAATTTTCTTCGAAACATAAGTACTGTGTCCAAAACATATTGTTTAAATATAGAATGTCATATTGCGTTGAGCATTTAATTAAAGTCCCAATCCATTGCCATTAAAGCCTAGAACATTTTTTGAGAAAAAATTGATAAGATACGAATTTGATGAAACTTACATGTGCACCATATCGGTTATAATACCCTTGCAGAGGGTGTTATGATTTTAGTCAGAAGTTTGCAACGCAGTGAAGGAGACTTTTCCGACCCCATAAGGTATATATTCTTGATCAGCATCACTAGACGATTCGATCTAGCCATGTCCGTCTGTCCGTCTGTATGTCTGTTTCAATACCGTTTTTATACCCGTTACTCGTAGAGTAAAAGTATTCGTGCAAAAGTATGTAACAGCTAGAAGGAAGCGTTTCCGACCCCATAAAGTATATATATTCTTGATCAGGATCACTAGCCGAGTCGATCTAGCCATGTCCGTCTGTCCGTCTGTCTGTCTGTCTGTCTGTCTGTCTGTCTGTCTGTCTGTCTGTCTGTCTGTCTGTCTGTCTGTCTGTCTGTCCGTATGAACGCTGAGATCTCGGAAACTATAAAAGCTAGAAGATTGGCATTTTGCATGAATATTCTAGGAGCTCCTACGCAGCGCAAGTTTGTTTCAAAAAGGTGCCACGCCCCCTTTAACGACTACAAGCCCCCTTTAACGCCCACAGTTTTGAAGCTATTATGAAAATAGTAACTGATATGTATTCGCTTCGTCAATACCTATCGATTGGCCAAGTAAAAAATTGCTACGCCCACTCTAACGCCCACAAACCCAATAAACGCTTAAACCTGGCCAGCGCCTACATTTCCGCCTTTCATGACCAGTAGTACCAATATCTGGCGGTAGATGGCGCAATACAATATACACTAGCGCCATCTAGGAAATGGCATTGGAAAAAATCTGCCGTTTTTTCTGTGGTCACTTTAATTCACATTATGTTAATGCAAATTTTAAATTATTTGAAATGGGGCGCGCATTTTGTCTCTTTTTGCTCGTATACGTTTTTCACAAGTGCATTCACCTGGGCTAGAGAGAGAGGAAGATGTGCTAGGCAGAATTGAAAGTTCTAGAAAGCCTCTGCTAGAAAGAGATCCCTGTGTAAAAATCGAGCGGCGAAAAACATATAAGAAGGCATATTTCTATTAAGTTGTTTAGCTGAGTAACGGGTATCTAATAGTCGAGGCACTCGACTATAGCGTTCTTTCTTGTTTTTCTTTCAGATTGTAATTTTAATTGTTCAAAGCCTACCTTCTTAACAATAAAAAAATCCATCGATTTGTATGGCAGCAATATGAAGGGACGGTGGTAAAATTATGATATTAATATGTGCATAATATCAGTGAGTAATTGAGTTGTGCAAACTTGCATCTTAAACATGTAAGAATTGTACTCGTTGGAAATATAAATAGGTTTTTCTTAAATTAGGGAAGAAAATTAAATATCTCGGTAATGAAATGTTTCTTATGGGATGGACAATCTTGGATAGTTGAGCTGATTATATAGGATGAAGAAGACTTCCAAAAACCGCGCTAGGAAATTTAAAATAATCAAAATTCATACTTTTTGGCCAACAAAAAATGTATGAAAATATTTTCCTAATTCCCCTAGTATACATTTAAAAACGTGTAAAGTTGCACGTTGTTTCTCTAAGCAGTTCCCGAGATAAACTAACTTAAAGATTGAGAACATTTTTTAAGTTCTTAACTTCAAAAATTCATAGCGCCCCTAAATGGACACCAAAAAATGTCAAAAAAGTCACAAATGATAACCAAGGCAAACTCTACGAGGTACCGGAGTTTGAGGAAAATCCATTATTTCATATGCGCAGTTGAGAAATTCTTACCCCTGTAGGAGATGCGTCAATACATATACATATATCTCCATGCCGACAGCAAATTTAAAGCTTGCGACCCAGATCAGCTCAACATTTTATAATGAGGAGAATCCCTAAACTGTTGAATTGTTGAATTTTGGTCAGCTGTTAATCAGCTGTTCCATACAAAGTCAACTTTCAGAAATTTCAGCAATTCAACAGCCTCGGGGCTGTTGAAAATTTTAGGGGGATTCCCTAAACTGTTGAATTGCTGAATTGTTGAAAATTCAACAAAAAATTTCAGCAATTAAGGGAACGACCCAAAATGCTTCCTGTTGAATTTTCAATCAGCTGTTATTTGTTGAAAAATTTCACGGAACTTAATGCATGTAAAATTTGATTTATTATTGCTAGTTACTGTCTAAAAGTGTTGCCAAGGTAAAAAGAACCACAAATATGCTTTCTAAGTTGATTTTAAAATAAATAATGCGTACTGGTGATAATAAAATGTTACAGAGTTGCCACGACTTTTAAAAAAAGGTGACAACTCTGGCTTTTCAGCAATTCAACAAAATTTTCAGCAGCCCCGAGGCTGATGAATTGCTGAAATTTCTGAAAGTTGACTTTGTATGGAACAGCTGATTAACAGCTGACCAAAATTCAACAATTCAGCAATTCAACAGTTTAGGGAATCCCCCTTTTGTTGAATTGCTAAAAAGCCAGAGTTGTCACCTTTTTTATTAAATGTCATGGCAACTCTGTAACATTTTAGTATCACCGTACTGGCATCATTTATTTAAAAAGCATATTTGTGGTTCTTTTTACCTTAATAGCAATATTAGACAGTAACTAGCAATAATAAATAAAATCGTACATGTTTTAAGTTTCGTAAAACAAATAACGGCTGTTTAAAAATTCAACTGGAATCATTTTGGGTCGTTCCCCTAATTGCTAAAATTTTCTGTTGAATTTTCAACGATTCAGCAGTTTAACAGTTTAGGGAATACCCTGAATATTTTGTGAACCAGCTGATTTACAATAAGACCATGCTGCGCTAGGCGGGTGAACTCTAAAAACTTCGGCCGGTTTCTCGAGTGCCGGCTAACATTTCTCGAACAGATAAAGTCCCTGCTTAAGGGCCGGTTTCTCGAGTCCCTGTCAAAGTCCCTGATAGCTATCTGTTCGAAAAACTTAAATACCAGATAAACTGTTCGTAAAAGCAAATCCGCTTTCTCGACTGCTTTAATTTATCTGAACGAGAAACAATTACAGACTGCTGTTAACGCACAGAATTGTGCTGTAAAGCGCAAAAAATGGCATGCTTGGATTATTTCATCAGCTGTTTGGGTATAATTTAAAGGAAAAGTCAGCTGTGATTTTGTTTCTTCTTCATAGTTGGCTTTGGGAAATCAGCTGTCATTTTATCGAGTCGAAAACGCTTAACAGGGGCTCCGAGTCCCTGTCAAAGTTAGCTCTCACATTTATGCTCGAGAAAGCCAAAATGCCTTAGCAGGGACTTTATCTGTTCGAGAAATGTTAGCCGGCACTCGAGAAACCGGCCCTAAGCCTAGTACTCATTACGACGAAAACTGCTAGCTAAGCATAGGAGTAAGCGAGAGGCAAATAGGTAGCTAACACCTTTAGCCGGGGACTTTTCCCACCGCGGTACTCAGTTGAGCCAAGGAAATAGTAAGAAAATACCACAAAAATACTAGCGACCCAGGTCGGCTCAACGTTTTGTAAAATTTTAAAATTGGCGCCAGATGATTTGTTTGCTGAGAGGCTTAAGGCATTTTGGCTTTCTCGAGCATCAATCGACTCGATAGAATGACAGCTGTTTTCCCAAAGCCAACTATGAAGAAGAAAGGAAATCACAGCTGACATTTCCTTTGAATTATACCCAAACAGCTGATGAAATAATCGAAGCACACCATTTTTTGCGCTCTACAGCAAAATTCTGTGCGTTAACAGCACTCTTTAATTGTTTTTCGTTGAGATAAATTAAAGGAGTCGAGAATACCGATTTCCTTTTACGAAGAGTTAATCTGGTCTTTTTCAGACAGATATGTAGGTATCAGGGACTTTGACAGCGAGCAACCGCCCCGTCGAATTTATTATATCATATCCGAGAGAGCCGCAGAAATATCTTTCAACCAAAATCCATTACGTTTCTTACATACATCCATGCACAAATCCAACCGTCTTTGGATGAAAAAGATATCTATTACACCCTCGATCATTTTATTTTATTTGATTTTTATTAGTAAAATTGTAGTAATTTTTGTAATGCATAAGGACAATATTAAAAAGGGTAAAAATACATTATGTTCAAATTGTTTTTATATATATATATAGATTTAGGTCTGATCTGGTGCGAGGTCCTCCACTTTCGAGTCTTCGAGCTGTTTGAATTGGATCAAGATGACCAGATACGTGGTGACGGCCGAAAATATCTGTAAACAAGAGAGAACGCTATAGTCGGGTTGGTGTATGACTATCTAATACCCCTCACTCAGCTAATGGGAGTGCGAGGGAGATGGATATATAACATTTTTTTGATCGCGCATAACTTTTTAATGAATGGTCCGATTTGAAAAATGTCTTCTACATTTCGATAGGTATAAATATTTACAACAAAATAGCATTTATACTTTTCGAAAATCTTCAAAGATGCGGGCGCCAGACACCGGAAAACAAATGTTTCATTCATGGTATATTTTATGGATTTTTTTTGTAAACTAGTGTAGTTTAATGATCACTCGGTGCAGTTCCAGGGATTCCAGATTCAGCGTGCCTATTTAAATTTTGTTTTTAAGTTGTCAAAAATCAAAACGCCTACTTCCTACAGACGGATAGACAGACATGGCTAGATAGACTCAGCTATTGGTGCTGATCAAGAATATATATACTTTATGTGGTCGGAAACGTCTCCTTCACTCCGTTGCAAACATCTGACTGAAATTATAATACCCTCTGCAAGGGTATAAATATGTGCCCTAAAATATTTGACAGGCATCTAGAGGCGTCTTTTCCCGAATTTTTGAGATAAATACAACTATTGTACTTTGAAGGATGGAATTTATAGAATTTTTTCCATACAAACAAGTATTTTTAAGTCACTCTTGCGTAACGAGTTTGTCGTGATTTCACACAGCAGTCTTTTTAAAGATAACAGTGGCGTAGCCTTAAAATTGTGGGGGTTTTTTTTTAAGCATATTAACCCCTTAAAAATATAATTTTTCTATGTTCGGCGCCTACTGCTAACCAAATTGAAAGGCAAATTTTTACGAACGTGTCAGATATTTATGTAAAATGGGATTTAGAAATACTTGTTACTTTTCACGTTCTTACGGAAAAAATTCTATAAAGTCCATCCTTCGACGTACAATGGTCGTATGTGTCTTAAAAATTCGGTGAAAGACGCCTCTAGATGCCTGTAAAATATTTTAGGGCACATATTTTTCCTTGTATTTTTTTAAGCCTGTTCACCGCATGAAGTTGGTTGGGAATAGAGGTCAAGAAATTACTTCAATGGCTCATAGGCTTTGATTAAATAAAATTACGATGGAACCTTAAATGCAATTATGTAGAAGGGCATCTAAGCAATTTTTTCGTTTAGGTTTTATTATAATTGAGCACAGACCCTCGAAGATATCTTAAAACAAAACATTAAATGTTGATATTTTTTCAAAACGCGATTGCTCAAATACCATCCGTTAAACGCGAAAACTAAATATGCAGCTATGCTTATAAACGTCTATATTAACATATTTTAATGCCAATAGGCCTGCACCTTTTAATAAAGTCCAGTTTGTTAACCTGTGTAATTGTGTAATTTCAATTGCGTTGAAAAAGTGTAACATTTTGATGTTTGTCAGACGAAAACGAGCATTTTTTTAAAAATCGTTGCAAGATATTGACGAAAAACACAGGAGGAGATCCGCTCCTGTGAATTCACTTATGGTGTGGCGGTAACACAAATAATATATTTTTTGTTCCTACTCATTAAGACATAGAATATCAAGCAGTTCAGTGAAAATGGAACTTATTGTTTTCGGGACCCATTTCTTTAAGATATAGTGGCCCAAATGAAGCTATTTTTATGTAGGGGAGAGGTCTGTAGGTTGGGACGGTCTGTAAGTTGAGACACTCAATTTTCTCAAAACTTATACACTAAAAAAATTGTTTTTATTTTTTTTTTGTAGTCCTTTTTAGTGACAAAACTTTTGGGGAAAACATTACACAGGCCGACAAAATGTGACATGGGTCGGTGTCCAGGCCTGCCACCATTTTATTTCGATAAATGAGGCTTTTCTAAGCATAAGTTGCCACTACGCCTATAGTCCATCAGCTCTGGTATTTGCGGTATCTTTAATTTAAGAAAATCACAAATTTTCTTCGTCTTTTGGGATATATCTTCAAGAGTGGTCAACCAATTTTGGTAATCTTTTCGGAATTAAATAGTTTCATATCTCTTTTATACGGTCGTTTTGGAAAATTCAATCTAACTGAACCACAAGGGAAGGTGGGCGCATTTAAAATTTTAAAGTCACAGGAAAGTTTAAAAATCTTCATTTGTGAACAGCGTTTAAAAATTAAATAAAAATATTTTCTTCTACAATGCATTTTTAATCCAAAGACACCTTATGTCCCTAATTTTTAGGACACTCATCAGGTTTTTGTGTATTGTTTTGGAATTTTTAAAATTGTTTTTCTTACTTCCTTCACAGTGACGATTCACAAACAGTGCCCAAACCTGTCACTATTTTACGTAACTCATAACTATTTTTGAGCACAAGTGACCCTTGCTTTAAAAATATTTATACATGGGCGTAAGCTAAAAGCTGGAGGGGGATTACACTTCAAGCATTTCAGCCCCCAAAGATTAGTAAGCTACGCTCATGTGCTTATACTTAAAGCAAAACTACTTAGATCGTTTAGAATTATGATATTTAAAATTGTGACAGGTTTGGGCACTGTTTGTGAATTGTCACTGTGAAGGAAGTAAGAAAAACAATTTTAAAAATTCCAAAACAATACACAAAAACCTGATGAGTGTCCTAAAAACTAGGGACATAAGGTGTCTTTGGATCAAAAATGCATTGTAGAAGAAAATATTTTTATTTAATTTTTAAACGCTGTTCACAAATGAAGATTTTTAAACTTTGCTGTGACTTTAAAATTTTAAATGCGCCCACCTTCCCTTGTGGTTCAGTTAGATTGAATTTTCCAAAACGACCGTATAAAAGAGACATGTAACTATTTAATTCCGAAAAGATTACCAAAATTGGTTGACCACTCTTGAAGATATATCCCAAAAGACGAAGAAAATTTGTGATTTTCTTAAATTAAAGATACCGCAAATACCAGAGCTGATGGACTATAGGCGTAGTGGCAACTTATGCTTAGAAAAGCCTCATTTATCGAAATAAAATGGTGGCAGGCCTGGACACCGACCCATGTCACATTTTGTCGGCCTGTGTTATAAGCCAGGCTCTAGACAGATTAAAGCTGTGAGAGTCGTGTACCATTTTTCACCAAAAAAATTTTTGGCTACTTTTTTCAAAATTCCATTTTAAATTAATAACGTCCTTAAATTAACTTGGTAAGAGATTTAAAACATTAGTATATTAACTGTTAACTAATTAAAAAAAGAATCAGCTTAATGTGACAGTCAGAACAAAAGTTATTAATTTTTTCCCGAAACATCCCATTTTGTGTAAGTTGAGACACTTTGAGCGTGTAAGTTGAGACACCCGTTTTTCATACAAAAAGGCCTTAGGCCAACAGAGGTCGCTTTCTGCCTAGTACATTTCTTTGATATTAGGGGAAAAGTATATGTTCAAAGAGCCTTTTGATTTTAATTGTTATTTGGTCTAAGTTCTTAAAAAATGGATGGGAAATAATTTAGGACGAACTAAAATTGAATAAATTAACATAAATAAATAGTTCCTTATAGTTCGGAGTACTTTTTGTGTGAGTATTATTGACTTTTAAAAATGTCCCAACTTACAGACCTCTTTTTCAAAATGTCGTTTTTTGGCACTTTTCAAAAAAATCAATATTCTTAACACCTTTGTATCAAATAAGAATCCTGTTTCGTTCATTACGTGCACGACACAGACCTCCAAAAGAATTTTTTAAAGACTTGCCCGTTTGTAACAAAACCTGTTTCATTCCAAAAATATTTGATTTTGGGCGATACTTCCTGTCAAAATGCAAAAATTTGTTCTTCAAAACCTTAATAAACTTTCCACATTTCACGATTGGAACATTTGAAATACGATCACCAGTCTGCGCCCCCTTAATGAAATCCCATGGAGAAAACACTCAAATTCGTATGAAAAAATTTCGAAAAAACTTCAAAGTGGCGCGGACTGGGGATCGCGTTTCAAATGTTCAAATCGTGAAATGTGGAAAGTTTATTAAGGTTTTGAAGAACAAATTTTTGCATTTGGACAGAAAGTATCGCCCAAAATCTAATATTTTTGGAATAAAACAGTTTGGTTCCAAAAGGGCATTTTTTTAAAAAATGATTTTTGAGGTCTGTTTCGTGCACGTAATACACTGAACAGGATTTTTATTTGATTCAAAAGTGTTAAGAATATTGACCAGACAAAAGTTAAGACGAATTGTGGGATATGACTTCAAAATACTACTTTTTTAAGGTGTAGAGAGACATATTCAATATTTATGTATGGGTTGAAGATTGAAAGGACCTTTGGGCTGGATTACTCTCAAAATGGAACCTTTTAGTTTATATTTAACCAGAAGAAAAATTTCGCTTAAGTTTAATCATTGGAACCGGAAAAAATCGATAGTGTCGTATAATTATGAAACGATCGCACATAGCCGAAAAATAGGCTATATTTCGAAAAATTAGCGGTAAATGTTGTTAAATGTTAAATGTTTCGCTTTCTATAAACAACAACAACGCTACAAATTTTCAAAAAATAGGTGTGTTGGTGTCGTATAATTTTGAAACACACCTTATTATTCGATGTCTAGTTATAACTAATACTTTTTAACTACATGTGACTAGTGCAATAAATATAAGTACAAATTTCTGCGCTACGTTAATAATAATATATAAATAAATGAAAAATAAAATAACAAATCGAAACATGTGTTCATATTTAATGTTTGTGTATGGGTATTGATAACACCAATTTACAAAATAAAATCGACAAAATCCTTATCGTTTACTTAAAGATTTTTTTAGTTAGTTAGTTTTTTCTATGAGGGAAATAATTTCAGCAAAACATGAATTTTTCAAACCTTTTAAACTTTGACGATGTTTGTTTTCTAAACTAATGACTGAAAGTCAATAAGAAAGTTATAGGCAATTCGATTTCCAGTAAAATGAGTTTTAGATGACTTAAATCGGTTTTTTAGAACTTGAGATAGAAAACAACGTCGTCTTCGATGACTTTGTCATTTACATTTAGTCAGCGCTAGACCAAATTTAGCGTTGAAGGGTTTTGGAGCACCCCACTGAAGCTAGGTAGAACGAACCGTATCCGACCATATAAAGTATAAATATTCTTTGTCAGAATCACTAGCCGAGTCGATCTAGCCATGTTAAGTGCGAAAATTTTCGATGTTTCAAATTTAAATAAATCAAACTTTACAATCAAACTTTACGATATATCATATAAGACTATTTCTCTCTAAATCAGCCCAGTCGGAAGTTTTGGAGTGGTCGGTTTTCGGAATGCATCTTTGTCCACAGTAAAAATGCGATACAATGTTGGACAGCATCCAGAATGCATTCTAGATGCAACCCAAGTCATCACTCCCCTATAGGTTCTTTTGGAAGGCAAAATGGGAGCGATCCGTGCAATCGTAGCTTCTCGTACGTCGCAGCCGAACCCTTGCCGAAACCCGAACGCTTGCCGATCGAAACGATTGAAACGGTACTTTTAAAAAAACAAACGAGAAGAACAAAAGAGACATAGCAAGAACGCGCGCGGTTTTTATACCCGTTACTCGTAGAGTAACAGCTAGAAAAGCGTTTCCGACCCCATAAAGTATATATATTCTTGATCAGGGGCACTAGCCGAGTCGATCTAGCCATGTCCGTCTGTCCGTCTGTATGAACGCTGAGATCTCAGAAACTACAAAAGCTAGAAGGTTGAGATTTTCCACACATATTCTTTGGCTTCCTACGCAGCGCAAGTTTATTTTAGCTGAGCGCCACGCCCCCTCTAACGCCCACAATAGCCCACTAACGATTTTAAAATGTGTCTGGCGCCCACACCTTTTAAGATTTCCGAGAAGTATAAATGCAATTTTGTTGTGCATATTTATACCTATCGAAATGTAGAAGACATTTTTCAAATCGGACCATTCATTAAAAAGTTATACGCAATCAAAATTTATATATCTATCTCCCTCGCACTCCCTTTAGCTAAATTACGATTATTAGTCGGGAAACCAACCCGAGTACAGCGTTTGCACTCCCATTAGCTGAGTGACGGTATTAGATAGTCGGGACACCAACCCGACTATAGCGTTCTCTCTTGTTTCCTTTCTTTCTTGTCACTTGCTTTTTGGAATTTAACCAGTTAAGTGTAATTGATTACACAGGCCGACAAAATGTGACATGGGTCGGTGTCCAGGCCTGCCACCATTTTATTTCGATAAATGAGGCTTTTCTAAGCATAAGTTGCCACTACGCCTATAGTCCATCAGCTCTGGTATTTGCGGTATCTTTAATTTAAGAAAATCACAAATTTTCTTCGTCTTTTGGGATATATCTTCAAGAGTGGTCAACCAATTTTGGTAATCTTTTCGGAATTAAATAGTTACATGTCTCTTTTATACGGTCGTTTTGGAAAATTCAATCTAACTCAACCATAAGTGGAGGTGGGCGCATTCAAAATTCATCAGGTTTTTGTGAATTGTTTTGGAATTTTTAAAATTGTTTTTCTTCCTTCCTTCACAGTGACGATTCACAAACAGTGCCCAAACCTGTCACTATTTTACGTAACTCATAACTATTTTTGAGCACAAGTGACCCTTGCTTTAAAAATATTTATACATGGGCGTAAGCTAAAAGCTGGAGGGGGATTACACTTCAAGCATTTCAGCCCCCAAAGATTAGTAGGCTACGCTCATGTGGTTATACTCAAAGCAAAACTACTTAGATCGTTTATAATTATGATATTTAAAATTGTGACAGGTTTGGGCACTGTTTGTGAATTGTCACTGTGAAGGAAGTAAGAAAAACTTTTTTAAAAATTCCAAAACAATTCACAAAAACCTGATGAGTGTCCTAAAAATTAGGGACATAATGTGTCTTTGGATCAAAAATGCATTGTAGAAGAAAATATTTTTATTTAATTTTTAAACGCTGTTCACAAATGAAGATTTTTAAACTTTCCTGTGACTTTAAAATTTTGAATGCGCCCACCTCCACTTATGGTTGAGTTAGATTGAATTTTCCAAAACGACCGTATAAAAGAGACATGTAACTATTTAATTCCGAAAAGATTTGTGATTTTCTTAAATTAAAGATACCGCAAATACCAGAGCTGACGGACTATAGGCGTAGTGGCAACTTATGCTTAGAAAAGCCTCATTTATCGAAATAAAATGGTGGCTGGCCTGGACATCGACCCATGTCACATTTTGTCGGCCTGTGTTATTCGGTTAAACCAATTTTAATCGTTTTATTTGTTTATAGTTCTTGAAAAACAAACATTTGTGCTTTTTTGTGCCAAGTAAGTATAGTGCGGTGATAAGTGGAAATATTAAATAAAAAATAATACCTCTTAACGAGGTAAAATAACCATAACCAAATAAAAGTGTATTTTTTTTAACCAAACAAAAATAATTGTGTGTGTGTGTTTAATAAACAGAGTGCTTCTAAAATAACTTTTATTCGGCCACTGCATCGCGTTGCTTAAGGTTTTTACCTATGCACAATGTTTGTACATACAGTGAACCCCACGCATAATCGGACACCCATTTTTTTTCTATCATAAAACTGCTCTAAGATCATACAAAAAAAAGTGAAACACAATTTTTTGGCTCTTATTTAAATTTTTGTGTTATCTATTAATAGCCTCCATATTTAAAACACACGTGTAAAAAATCAATAAAAATCAATTATGAGTTGTGTTTTAAATATGCCGAATAAGAATTTTTCACAACATTGTACTAACTAATTATTGTTTTTATTCTTTGCATGACCTCATGGACGGATTTTTGACAACGGAAGAACAACAACATTAACAACTGTAAGTATTAAATTTAATTTTAGTTTTTGTGTAACAAAAGTGCCGTTTTGGTTTCAATTGTAGGCAAAAAGAAAGGGTTCTCCACATTTGCTGCGTTGAACGAAGCTCTGTACGGTAAGTGTTAAAGATTGTTGCTGTTAATTTGGCGATTTCGTCTAACAAAATTTTAAAACTCTCTATTTTGCAGAATCTCAGGAGAGGGAAGGGTATAAAGAGACTACACGAAGAAAGGCGACGACCAGTGCAGATAAAGGACCGGACCATTGAGGATGATGGGGAAGAAGTAGGCTTAATTTAATTTTAATATGTTTAAAAAGAAAATTAAAGAAAGAAATATGAAATTTGAAAAAAAACGTATTTTTTTCACTCGTGAAAGCCGCATTTTAAAGCATCCAAAAGCAATCCAAAAGATGCGATCCAGAACGCATCTTTTGGATTGCATCCAGAAGCACTTCAAAGATGCGATCCAGAACGCATCTTTTGGAACGCATTCAGAAGCATTCCAAAAGATGCGTTCTGGATCGGATCTTTTGAAAGGGAAAAATGGAAACCAATCCGGAACGTTTCCGGAAGTTGAAACCCATGGCCGATGCGTGAAAAGGGAGCGCTCCAGGAGCGCTTCATCGGATAGCACCCATTTTGTCCCGCTTTGCTGTGAAAAGGAAGCGAGAAGTTCATCGTTCGGGCACGCATGCATCGGTGCTTTGGATGCTATCCATCATCCCTTCTGGATGCGTTCCACTTCCGACCGCTAGCGGTCGGCACACACATCGTTGACATTTTGTTTTATATTTGTGTGAGTAATTTGCACTGGGCAGCTCATGGATGTGTGTGTGCAGACCGCTGTTCTACGTTATACGTGTGCGAGCAGCGCGCCGGCAGAACAAAACCCTATTCTCACTTAATGGGGCGCTGCCGACCGCTGCTCTAAATAGATCCTAAATCTAACGCTTTGAAACATTTTTGTGCCGATAATACTGCTTTACTTATTTCTAATTTTAAAAACATAAGACGAAGATTTAAATTATATTATAAAGAAAATTTCTGCTTGCCAAATACCTTGAATAGAGTGGAGTTATCTATGGCAAAAAACCCGTATGCCGTGAATTGCACCTCCTGCTTTATGCTCTTAGTGAGGAATTTATCAATCTGCAAGGGAAACATTTATTTAATAATTGCATTTCATTTAGCTAGTTACTTACAATATTCTGATACTCCCTGCATCTAGCATATACCCTAGCTAGTATTTGGGATGTGGCATTGGCCTTAAAATAGAAACACTCATGTTAATTAATTGTAAACAAATCTCTTATATATGTACTCACCTCCCTAGTGGTAAGACCACAACTCCGAGACAACAAAGCCAAAAGGGAAAAGTGGAGACAAAGCCAAGCGAAGCACCACTGCAGAATGTTGGGCGACACCATGCCCTTTGCGGTGATCTGAACAAAAAGATTATAGCAGTTGGTGGTGACGGTATAGAAGGAATAGCCCAGGAACGAGACCAGAATCAGGTTGCAGCAATCGTTGATGCCCTTGTAGATACGCAGTAATTTGTTATGCATGCGGTATATGAAGAGCGAGTCCTCGGGGAAATGTTCCATAATAGCGGGATTGGGGTTACTATTAATATTACCACGATGTCGCCTTCTTCCGCCGCCTTTGCGCTTATGCTGCTGCCCATAAGTGTATCCATTCAGTAGTTGGTTGATAAAATGAAATCGGATATACACAATTCTGAGTAAGGCTGAAGCGAATACTATATACGTGGCTGTCAGGCCATTCTGGATAGCATAGAAGGCTAGCAGTATATAGGAGGTGGGCGTGATTACGCCTTGCACAGCATATATCTTTAACACGATGATATACGTCTGGCAGGCGGCTATTCCAACCAAAAACTTCACCGAAAAGCCAAAGTCTTGGTTCAAATTGGCGCCAAACTGTCGACGTACTTCCTCATCCAGTTGTAGAATTTCATTCATGATCTGTAACATGCTCTTGGTATTCCGGGCACACACAAAAACTGTAAGGGTATAAGTCAGAATGCAGAGCAGTAGCTCGATCCACTGGTTCACATTGTCAGTCTCCCGGTAGGAGTAAAATAATTGGGCCGATATAGGTGTAAATAAACTGTAGACATTGAAGATTGTCAAGGCGTGCACCACGCCTCTTATGAAAAAGGAGTAGAACTCGTTGGTTTTGGTTGGCGGTCCCACTTCGTAGTTGGAGACCTGTTCGTATATGGGCATCAAACCACTAGCCTTTAGCACGGACAAAATGGTACGAATATCCTCGAATACGGGGTGAACATGGTTCCTTGATGAAGCAGGAGGTGCGTCGGCTGGATAATCCCTGGTAAAAGCATCCCTGTTCAAGGAGGGAGTTCGGTACGGCGAGATTCTTCGCGGATACGGATGGGATCGCGTGTTTGGCGCAGGCATTTCGATTACCCAAGTGTTCGGGGACATGGCCAACGAGGCACTGACAGGAATAAAGGATACGCTTAAGTGGATTGACCAGCGTTCATTAAAATGGGGTCTGAGTTATCTGATTGTGTTCTGGGGCCTCTTTGGGTCACGGGACTGCACTTCAAATGCCATTAAAGTTATTGCTTGTTATTGTAGATTATGATCAATAACACTGTGCAACAAAAATAAAGCTTTTTAAAGTTACCTCGATTATTGAATTCGGTACAACTTCCAAAGTTAAACTGCGTTTTCCAAAAAGTTCGCCGACATAAGGATTCTTATCACAAGGACCTCTATTTTCGAAAAATGATGAAATTTGCCAACTATCCGGAGGTATAACAGGCAATCCGATTCATCGTTTGTTTTGTATGTTAAAGTTTTTTAATAGATATGGGCAATCCTCTGCTGTCGCACCCGATGTTCGTACGCTTTGCGGGTGAAAAAAAACATCTTCCAGTACTTTTTATACCCTTGCAGAGGGTATTATGATTTCAGTCAGAAGTTTGCAACGCAGTGAAGGAGACATTTCCGACCCCATAAAGTATGGGGCTGTCCATATATTACGTAATCATCTAGGGGGGGGGGTCCACCAAATGATTACTGTAGTGCAAATTTTTTTTTTTTTATGAAGATATGATTATCATTCCACAAGATAGATCCCACTTTGAAACCAGTGGCATAAAATCCGTTAAATATGGGGCTTTCTGAGAAAAATATAATGGTATTTTTGCAGACTGGCCCTTTGGACGAAATCCTACTTTTAGACTTTAAAAACGCTATCGCTTGGTCATCTACGGTCTAAGAAAATCTATTTTTTTTCTCGTAATCGGCCATGGAAAGACAGATTTTTCTGCTTTTGAACCATACCAATTGTTTCTTCCGTTCGCAGGATAAAAATGATTTTGTGTTTTCTTTTCAACGCGATTATACGGCGAAAGAGTGGTAACATTGACAAAATAGGTATGAGGTAAACTATTGGAAGCAAGTGGCTTTGCAATCAATGTGGTACTGTCCACATACAAAAAAAAAAAAAAAAAGTGGGGTGGCCGGGTTGACATGGAACGTCCCATATGTACTAGGGCTGACTTTGGGACATTTTTCGTTTTTAAGATATATAAAAAAACCAAGACTTTCGCACGCGACACCAATAGAAGTGACTTTTTTTACTTCCTGCTTAACTTTAGGTTGTAACGAAACGTGAAGGAATATTTTAATGCAGTTAATTTCATAGTAATACTTGTTTTTTCTTCTTTAAAATGTATTTGGTTTAATTACAAAATATTGAGTGGTTAATTTTTTATTGTCATCGAAGTAACTGTCACACGCTACGTGTCGCGCGCGACTGTTTTCCGTCATTTTCTTAATCTTAACGTAAAACAAGAGAGGAAGCTAGCTTCGGCCAGCCGAAGCTTATATACCCTTGCAGATAATTCCTATTAATTTACATATCGCAAAAATGTTAATTTTCCTATTATTTCTCATTAATTTTGCGTTCGTTTCAATGGCAGCTATATAATATAGTAGTTCGATTTTGATAAAATTAAAATCGACATTCGAAAATATTTGAAAAGAGTTATATCCTAGAGTAGAAGAGAATACAATAAAAACCAAGGAAGCTAGAATTTATTTCCTATTACTTTTCCATTAATTTTCCGATCGTTCCTATGGCAGCTATATGACATATTAGTCCAATTTTTTCAATATTTAATTCAAAATTCAGAAATATTTAAAAAATGACATTTCCAAAAGTAGGATGTTATAGGTTCAAAAACACCCACGATATATAATTTTTTTACATTTTTTTTCCCGATTGTTCCAATGAGAGCTATATGATATAGTTGTCTGATCCGGCTCGTTCCGACTTATATACTACCTGCAATAGAAAGAAGACTTTTGGGAAAGTTTTATCCCGATAGCTTGAAAACTGAGAGACTAGTTTGCGTAGAAACGGACGGACAGACGGACGGACAGACGGACATGGCTAGATCGACTCGTCTAGTGATGCTGATCAAGAATATATATACTTTATGGGGTCGGAAACGTCTCCTTCACTGCGTTGCAAACTTCTGACTGAAATCAGAAGAATACCCTCTGCGAGGGTATAAATAAACCGTTTAAGAGCCACACCAAATGACTTTTTTGTCCATATAACAGGTATTGTCCAGGAAAATTATTCAAGGATACTCAAATTACTTGGCTTAGTTGAGAATCCATCTAACTAAAATCAAATATCAGTGCAAAATCATATAGAAATTTGTTTTATTTAAGTTTCAGGCTTTTTGACTTGGTTGACATCCCAGAGAATTGCCAATATACCAGGGACCGTAACGATCGTTATTTGAGATTTTTATTTTTTGAAATCTCAAATAACACTAGTTTACAACTTTAAATTTTTTTTCGAGGTAAGCCTTGAGACAAAATTGTTTTGATTAGTTTTGAGTTGCTTATCACGCTGAACAAATTAAAAAAATGAGGTGCAAATTCTAGGAGATATGCATTTTTTAGTGAAACAACCCACTTCTGGAAAATGCTATTCAAGTCAGGTGGCCTGCTTTTGTTAGTTTGGTTTTTGACATATGAACAAAATAGGAGTAGTACTCGTAGAGTAAAAGGGTATATTGTATTCGTGCAAAAGTATGTAACAGCTAGAAGGAAGCATTTCCGACCCTATAAAGCACATATATATTCTTGATCGGGTCACTAGCCGAGTCGATCTAGCCATGTCCGTCTGTCCGTCCGTCTGTCCGTTTCTATACGAACTAGTCCCTCAGTTTTAAAGCTATCGCGATGAAACGTTCCCAAAAGTCGTCGGAACGAGCCGGATCAGACCACTATACGTTATGGCTCCCATAGGAATAATCAAAAAAACAAGAAAGGAAGCTAGCTTCGGCCAGCCGAAGCTTAAATACCCTCGCAGATCATTCCTATTAATTAACAAATCGCAAAAATGTTCAATTAATTTCATTAATCTCATTAATTTTCCGATCGTTCCTATGGCAGCTATATGATATAGTCGTCCGATTTTGATCAAATTAAAATTGAAATTCGGAAATATTTAAAAAGAGTCATATCCTAGAGTAGAAGATAATACAATAAAAACCAAGGAAGCTAGAATTTATTTCCTATTACTTTTCCATTAATTTTCCGATCGTTCCTATGGCAGCTATATGACATATTAGTCCAATTTTTTCAATATTTAATTCGAAATTCAGAAATATTTAAAAAATAACATCCCCAAAAGGAGAAGGTAATATTTCAAAAAACACCGAAGCTAGATATTTTTTAACGTTTTCTTTTCCGATCCTTCCCATGGGAGCTATAAGATATAGTTGTCCGATCCGGTCGGCTCCGACATATATACTACCTGCAATAGAAAGAAGACTTTTGCGAAAGTTTCATCCCGATAGCTCAAAAACTGAGAGACTAGTTTGCGTAGAAACAGACAGACGGACAGACGGTCAGACGGACAGACGGACAGACGGACAGACGGACAGACGGACAGACGGACAGACGGACATGGCTAGATCGACTCGTCTAGTGATGCTGATCAAGAATATATATACTTTATGGGGTCGGAAACGTCTCCTTCACTGCGTTGCAAACTTCTGACTGAAATCATAATACCCTCTGCAAGGGTATAACAAGAAAGAAAGCTAGCTTCGGCCAGCCGAAGCTTATATACCCTTGCAGATCGTTCCTATTAACTTACAATTCGCAAAAGTTTTAAATTTCGTATTATTTTAATATTATTTTTTCTATCCTTCCCTATTGCAGCTATATAATATAGTCGTCCGATTTTTGTTAAATTTAATTGAAAACTCTGAAATATTAAAAAAAATCATATAAGAGAATACAATAAAAGCCAAAAAAGCTAACATTTATTTCCTATTACTTTCCCATTAATTTTCCGATCGTTCCTATGGCAGCTATATTTTTATACCCTTGCAGAGGGTATTATGATTTCAGTCAGAAGTTTGCAACGCAGTGAAGGAGACGTTTCCGACCCCATAAAGTATATATATTCTTGATCAGCATCACTAGACGAGTCGATCTAGCCATGTCCGTCTGTCCGTCTGTCCGTCTGTCCGTCCGTCTGTCCGTCCGTTTCTACGCAAACTAGTCTCTCAGTTTTAAAGCTATCGGGATGAAACTTTCGTAAAAGTCGTATTTCTATTGCAGGTAGTATATATGTCGGAACCAAACGGATCAAACAACTATATCTTATAGCTCCCATAGGAAGGATCAAAAAAAAAAACGTAAAAAAATTCTAGCTCCGGTGTTTTTTAAAATTTTACCTTCTACTCTTGGGAACATTTTTTTTTATATATTTCTGAATTTCGGTTTTTTTGTTTTTAAAATCGGATCACTATATCATATAGCTGCCATAGGAACGGTCGAAAAATTAAATGGAAATTAATGGGAAAAAAATTATATCTTTGTTGGTTTTTATTACAGTTCCTTCTACTCTGGGATATGACTATTTTGAAATATTTCCGAATTTCGATTTTAATTTTCAAAAGATCGAACTACTATATCATATAGCTGTGATAGAAACGATCGAAAAATTAATGTGAAATAATAAGAAATTTAACATTTTTGCGATTTGTAAATTAATAGAATGATCTGCAAGGGTATATAAGCTTCGGCTTGCCGAAGCTAGCTTCCTTTCTTGTTTAAATATTTTATTCGAAATTCGGAAATATTTAAAAAATAATATTTCCAAGAGTAGAAGGTTTTATTTCAAAAAAACACCGAAGCTAGATTTTTTTTAACGTTTCCTTCCTATGGGAGCAATAAGATATATTTGTCCGATCCGGTTGGTTCCGACTACCTGCAGTAGAAAGAAGACTTTTGGGAAAGTTTCATCGCGATAGCTTCAAAACTGAGAGACTAGTTTGCGTAGAAACGGACAGACAGACGGATGGACGGGCGGTCATGGCTAGATGGCTATTGATGCTGATCAAGAATATATATAGGGGAGTGTAGGGTAATTTGACGAG